TGTGTTCAATGCTTATTAAACGACCAACTCTATTGGCTAGGTATTTCCCTCCAGCTTGCAAATATTTAGCCAAAACCAGTGATGGACGATCTGGGCAGACATAGGATTCATGCCTCTGTGGTCTGGACAAAAAATGAATGCTTTGGCATGACGTTGATATGATGTGGGTTTGCTCAGAAGGGGTGCCTCGCCAAACCATGTAGTGGTCGCCAATTCTGGACTTTGATGGCTCAGTTGACGTGCAAGCGCCTTCCCCATCCACTATCTGCAGTGTTCACCAGCCCACCTAACCGTTTACTAGCTGGTTGTCTGTTTTCGTTTAGAGTGAAAGTAACCATGCACAAGCAATGTGTTTTAGAGAAAAATAAACACACTGACCAGGAAACCTTCTCGAACTATATGAAATGTCCGACGGGAAACATTTAGTACCTTGCACACCAAAACCACGGCTGGATGCTATGGCAAGTTTATTTATGATTATTCTGGTCAGACTTTTAAACACTACACCTTTAAAGATTAATTAATTCCCTCTGTTAATGGAAAGGCGTGTCACCCATTTCTCTTCACGTTATTTATAGTTGCACCTATCGGGCGGAATTTATTTAACGGCACGAAAACATTCTGTGCGATTATTCCTTAAAACCATCTACTAGTCCCGTATCAGTATTATGAGCAATTTGGTCACGTGCTGAGCACAATCGAAACTATATTAATAGCACTACTCACAGAGACCCTCTAAATTAGGGCAACTTCTACTAGTAAGTTTACACAACACAAAATACGACATATCAGTAGCATTGACTATCATAATGAAAGTAAGCCTTTGGTTTATGATAGCCTGACCCTTATGGTACCGTTAGCTGTTTAGTTTCAGATGGAATTGGAGGTGAATGACACCTAAAAACCAGTATGGGGCAATTTTTTGGGGCTTATGTCCATACTTAGGAGGGTTAAGAAAGGCCCAAATGCATGCTGCTTTTTTTAAATTGAAAAAACACCAGAGGCAGATACTTTGTGTAATTTGTTGTTCACATAGCCTATCTGGGCGATTCTTGAGTTCACTCCCTCACTCAAGCCTACCTCTAATTCATGTCCACAGCTTCCAAGAAATGGAGCAAGTCAATTTTCAACGGGGTACATAGTAGGCAGGGTAATTTGTCTTGACTTAACAAACTTGATCACGGAATCAAACGTCCTGTATTTAGACTTTGTGAGAGTTTTCCGTGAATTATTTGGTATGGACCAGAAGTCATGCCACAACATCTGGGATCTACAATGGAAAATTTTAAATGCCAGGGAAAAGAGTACAGTTATTGGTCATGAAAAGATTATGTGTAGACTACTTGTTTTTTCAGTGGTTTTGAACATAACTGAAAATCAGCGTCAAAATTCTGCTGAATTAAAAGGCAAGTGAATCGTAAAAAATGTGTTAGGAAGATGTTTTATGCGCAAAAAAAATATGAACTATAAGCATGAGATGCAAAACAAATTTTCTAAAATGGTTTTTTAATGTGCCAACTTGACATCGTGCAGAAATCAAAATAAAAAATGAATAACTATTGACCACTAAAAATTCAAAGGAATTGATTGGAAATTTTGATGACCATTGATATGCGTTCAACGTAATAAGACAAATCAGCTAGAACGTTTGCAACGGGCACCACAACAGGACTACTTGTGTTCACATTTAAAACCAATTCTCCATGCAGTGCATTATCGAGGTCACCATAACTCGTGGTAACGGCTATCGTCGGCTTTTAAATTGCTTGAAGTTGTGTATACTAGAGGCACGTTTCTTCACATCGCAAAAATAAACTAAGCCCAAAATAATTACTTGAATGGTTAAGATTAGAAGTCATTAGCGCTTCCAATTTGTCTATTCCGACAGATAAAAATCTATTTAAAAACCTGCTTTGCAAAACTCATACATTAAGAATTTTAGTTTCTAACAAAATAGGCCTTAGCGTAAATAGTAAAAGGATGATGCAACTTTAAAATCTCTGAAGATGTATTTCACATTAAGATTAAATGGGCGGTGTTACAAAGTGACATGAGAAGGCTTTAAAAAACCTAGTGAACAAATAAAGAAATGTATTGTTTCTTGGGTGTCAATCGCCCAATTCAAATGTACCCATAGCAATTGCAAGTTGTCGCACAATTTTTCAGTATTAATTAGGTTATGTAAAGGTAGACTTTTGGTTCAAAATTGTAACTAGTAAAAGGTGAATGGTACAGGACGCATAAAGCATCAAGTTGGATGTGGAATTCAGAGTAATCTCAACCACGACAGTACTCTTGGAACAAAATATGAAATTATCGGGTACTTTACTTGCATTATTCATTTTAACAATCCATTGTTTGTTTGGTAGGTTTTTTAAAAAAACATCGTCACAAAATGCAGAATACAAATTTTTTACAAAGTGCCATCTTTCAACCTAGAAGTTTTCTTAATTGACAAGTCTGAATAGGCAGGTTAAAGAAGTAAAAAACGGACATAAGTGAGCATTAAAGGCTGGGATATTTGGCTAAACTATTAAAAAAAAATTCACAGCTGCATGGTTTCCAACAAAAAGCAACATTTGTCCTTTTAGAAACGAAAAAGAGATTGCAAGATTCTACTAGCCAATTTAAACTGAAATAGACCAGAATTTTTGAATGTTTTACCAGTCAAATTAAACCTATTTGAATATATTCCTTCTCAAACCTCCTTGATATTATATAAAAAATCCCAAACTGGGCCAAATAACGACCTCTTCACACTAATCTTCATACATAATAAGATAATTTTATTTGTGTTTGGAGTTGTTTCGTGCACAAAGATTTATGGTTTAATTTTCAGGAATCCACATAAATTTCTGACGAAACGGCACAAAAAACGAATAAGGCAGGAATGACACTGAGTTGATTTTCACAAATTTTGGCCTTTTAATTTTCTCACAAATATCACTGAAGTCCCGTTGAGCAGTCTTTCTACATCACTAAACTTAGCGTAAACGATGACTTTGTGGAGTGGGGTGCATTGGGGCGAAGTCGCAAGGCAATTACCTGAACCACAACGGCCAATTTTAGAGAAAATTACACAATAGTTTCCATGTTGTCATAGCAGTTATAACTTATGCAATGTAAAGTAAACAAATTATTATATTTTTATGTGTTTAAATTGAAAACCATAATCTTTTCTCAATTTCACTTTCAGTGAGTAAGTATTTCTACACAATGCGTATGGTAGGTAAAAGCAAGCAGTTTTGCTTAGTTGGACAGGAAAAAGTCATGAAATAAAAGTGATGATACATTCACAAATTTAAAGGAAGGGTGGAATTTTGAGAACTCAGGTTGTTTAGATTGGGCGCAAAATCTCTGGGCTATTAACCGAAACTGCGCAATAATTTCTGAAATAATCTACAGAAATTTGTACGTATACGGCAGCTATTTTACACATAAGTATACAATGCCATAAGTATTCAGAGTTCTTCAATAAACACCAAAACGGTAGATTTTATGGGATAAAACAAAATAAGACGTAATTACTGAAGTCATGACTACCAGTCAGGACGATTGCAACTTGTTTTGCGTTGGAACAGGAGCGTGTTTTTTGACAATGAAGGGAAAATCACTTCTGATGATTCGACCTATCATCAGGTCCATGACGTCATCCCGCAGCGTAGCATCAGGCAGAGAAGCATCGCTGCTAATAAACCAGTTAAAATCTCACAAGCACTAATTATTTGGCAGACACTACTACTAAAGTTGACGTCGAAATTAGGGTTACCTTATCAATGCATGCATATGTTTCCAGCGAATTAAGTCAATTTAAATGAGGTTTATAAATTGAAATCGTGGTTGGCATGTGCCAAGAAAAAAATAACAACATAAAGAACCTTGATCTTGTGGACAAATTTTATGTTTACCGGTAAAATCTTGTGAGCAGTAACTGCTCCCGACTTTCAGCTCAGCTGCATACTTTTTGGGGGAAAGATGAACTGCTGAATCTGTTATCGTAGACACCAAAGTGATAATAGGAGGTCTTGAGGCAGACCCATTCAAATTTTTATATAGAAGGCATTTTATCTGAAACCTCCAAAAACAGATATTTTCAAGAAAGTGAATTCAATCTTTCGCCGCACTTTTGCTTGAATTTTGATGTTGTATCTGAGCGTCGTTGTAGAAATTGTGATTTACTTCTTTCCGGAATTGATCAAAACACGAGGCCATCGTTGTGGGTCATTTAAGGAAGAGGCGTGGTCAAGATCTGCCTACACAAGAGGAAGGCCCATTTTTAGAACATGATATTCCTTCGTCCGATTGTCCTTTGTAAAGATTATCTATGCTCATGCTCCAGGATCCAAAGGCATTAGATAACAATAAAATTTTATCTAATTTTAAAAACGGCCTAAAATCAGTTCTAAGTTGCCCAAGAATTTGTCTTCATGTGTGAGAGCAGGATCCTTTAGCACACCGGCATCTCTTTAGTGGGTGCTGGAACCGTCATGACCGTTTGGGTCTACTGGAGCAGTGTCCTTGGTTTTGTGCTCCTCGGTAGCTGCAATTGTTCATTATGGATGAGAACCTGCATCCTCCAGCCTAGACTGAAAGAATGGAAGCGATTAAACAACACACGTCCACCGGAGACAACGGCAGCTATGTCTAATTTAATTCACTCCTCAGCCTCTTTCTACGAGCTAACGTGCGCACGTGCGCATACAAGCCTAGGTGACGCTCCCCACGGAAAGCGTGCGTGATTATCTTAATACATTGCAGGTGAGCTGCTTCTTTTAGCCAATCAAGTAAGCGCATCCACGCACACACGTGCGCATGCTTGTTCCCCTACCCCAAACTTGTGCACACACACTTTATACAAATGGAGCTCCTTCAATTCTTGTGCTGTCTGTGATATGAGTTTCTTCAGCCACTTAATTTTTATCCTTCTTCTATTTCTTCTCGTAGATACAAATGGCCAAAAGAAAAGTGAAAAGAAATCCAAATCGCGCCTAGTTGCGACTATGCCCGGCGATATAATTCTGGGAGGACTTTTCCCTGTACACAGTTCTGGCGCAGTGAAATGCATGTCGCTTAATCCCGAGCGAGGCATTCAACGACTGGAGGCAATGCTATTCACTCTCGATGAGATAAATAATAATTCCGCCTTGCTTCCTGGTTTGCGTTTAGGTGCCAATCTGAGAGATACCTGTTCCCTTGGAAATCACGCTCTGGAACAATCACTGGATTTTGTAAAAACGACAGTAGATGATGTCATGAACGACCAGAAGGAGGTGGATAGGGTGCTCATGTGCCCGTGTGCCCCCGGGGGCGTACCATATAACCAAGGCGGTCATAGAATTTCTGGCGGAACCATGCATCACCCAACTTCATGGAGTCAGGACATTGTCCGTGGTGTAGTTGGTGGTTCGTATACGACTGTCTCCATCCTCGTTGCGAACCTTTATCGACTCTTTAAACTGCCCCAAATATCCTATGCTTCGACCAGTGCCGTACTGAGTGACAAACGGACCTACCCCTTGTTTGCTCGAACCGTTCCCTCTGATGTTGAACAGGCGCGGGTCATGGCAGCCCTAGTGGCGGCGCACAACTGGACGTATGTTTCAACTGTGCGAAGTGCTGGAGATTATGGGGACTCTGGAATGGACGCATTTTGGAAGGAAGCAGACAAGCGCGACGTTTGCATTGCAGCCAGGGAGGTAGTTCGTGGAAGCTCCACATCCAAAGACTTTGACGAAGTTGTGCGCGTACTTCGTCACGGTTTTTCAAAGGCCAGAGCAGTTGTCCTTTTTACGCGAATGGATCATACAACGTTACTTCTTGATGCTGTCCGAAGAGCGAACTACACTGATCACTTCGTTTTCATTGGCAGTGATGGATGGGGTCGCGAAAATATCCCAGTTCTAAACAACTCTCGTGTTGCTAATGGCGCACTTACTATTGAAATCCTTGCGACTGAAATTGAAAAGTTTTCGACCTATTATAAAAACCTGCGATGGGATAATACGAGAAATCCTTGGTTTGCTAAATACTGGCAGTCTCTATTTGGTTGTACATTTGACAACTCAAGCAAACCGAACGATCTGAAACTCTGCTCAGAAACTAGGGACAAGCGACTTGGTGATAAGCTACCAGAGCCCTTCAAGCAGGAGGCTAAAATTCAATTTGTCTATGATGCCGTCTATGCTCTGGCCCATGGCCTGCATAATCTCCAGCAAAAACTATGTCCTTTCAATCCGGATCCTGCTAAATGGGACAAAAATGAATGTATTAGGAAATTGTTGGCTTATCCTGGGGATAAGTTCTACAAGACAATTATCTCAACTGCATTTAAAGGTAGGTTTTCATGCATATACATATGGACAACTTCTGCTGAAATCCATTTGCAAAATCGCGCCCCGTTTAGATTTTTCTGAGCTTGAGCTCGGATGGCTGCCCATATAATCCATACATCATTTGCGTTTTCTGGTATTTAAATTTTTGACCACATGTCCAGAAGGTAGATTTTAATAATAATGTTGAAATAGGAGTCTGACTCCAAATCAAACAAGTGCTTAAATTTATATGTGCGTACCTCTTACATGAGTCAATTTCATATTAAGACTGGTTTGATTTTAAAATCAACAATGATTATTGGTGTTTTACACATGCTAACACAGAGGAATTGCGTCTCAATGCACTTCTATTCACCTGGACTATTAACCAGACTGCAAGTAGTAAATTACAAACTGCTTTAATTAGTTTGGTTTGTTCAGAGTTCGTGACAACATTGCCATTAAAAATATATAAAATAAACCATAGACTTTAAGGTAATCTGTTGAGTTGGAAGCGAACACTTTTGTGATCAGTAAACACAGAGCAGTGCTTTAGGCTCCGAAATTCAACCAACTTATGGCATACCTCCGTAAAAGCTTTATCTTCATGATTTAAGACAATTATACTAGTGGAAGAAGCCATCACTAGTAAATTGATTTGGGAAAGGAGCTGATTTGGTATCATGAAGCCTCTTTTTATAGTCTCCGCCATCATAAGATTAAACGGGATTAGTAAGTTGTATTACAACAGAGGGCGCTGGTCAAAATTATGCTTTTTCAAACTAGAGTATCGTTGCGTAAGCACTTAATTGAATCACGCTGCCATTTGTTAATAAAAACAGTGCCTAGTGTTCAAAAATACCTCGATGATACGTGTTATCAGTTAAAAAATCGGACATGCTTTAGTGCTCAATGTCTGGGGTCGGACCAATCAGAGGGATTCCTACCTCGCCCCCAACATCTCAATTATCTTGTCATATCTCTTTTGACGGGCAAATTTTATTCTTCTTCAATACGAAGGCCGAAGTAATTTTAACAGAACAAAATTAATTATGCACTGTGCTTGCAAAAACATATTTCGTGTATCCGTTGCCATAAATGGCCGTTCGCATGGTCTCAATTTATATGCCTGTTCAATGCAAGCATGCACCTTTCGAACTTTTAATTTTTTTGTGGAAACACAAAATGCTGAAACGAAATGGTCACCAAAACTATGGCTCATTACTGTTATATGTTACTACAGACTAGACACAGGAAACCGTGACCCAAGTATATGTTCTAAACGTGCAACAGAGTTTTGATCAAGGTTTGATTAAGGCAAGGAAGATGCCGTTAGTCAAATTAGTTGAGATTCGTTTCCTTTACAGTCAAAATAAGGTATTATAGGACAATAAATCCGACGTCATTTTGGTTGATCTAAACACCACCTTTAAGTGCGCTTAACAATCCCAGGTATTAGTGATTACTTTGGTTATGAACCAAACCATTCATATATGACATTAACTCGTGTAAGGCCTAATTACACACAATAAGTGTAGCCCTCAAAACTTCCCAAAGCAGTCAAATTATAATTTTAGATCAAAAAGATGCCTTCACTGACAATGGACTCACGAAAATTATTGCTTCACAATCGTTTTCTTTTCTCGCCACTAGTGAATTGATGTGAGTTGATAGCACAATGTAGAGCACTAGAATTAATAAACCTCAATTAAGATAACTTACTTACACTTAAGTCAAAACTTCCGTACTAAAGTCTTGGCAAATATTGACCATCTGAGAAAAATCCATCACATTATTAAGCTTATATGCGTGTTTTCTTCATAAAAATGACAAAAAGTAGTCTACCTAAGACTTTAGCCTAGAGCGCTTATTAATTTGATTGTAGCTAACTTTATGTGCGCCGTTTCTCCTGCTTTAGCGTAGTGCAACGATAACTGCTACCAAAACGACTTATCGACGACACAGATCCACTCGCACACCTGAAAAACAGTTTTAAAGTGAAACTTTAGATTCATCATTTTGCCGCAAATAACATAGGACAGTCCAGACATAGAGTCAAATTCACTAGTTAGTTCAACGGGCTTAGAAAGGATGCAGCATTTTATCTTTTCTGTTAAATTAGCTTATGCAGAAAAGTAGAACAAAGTACTGGTTCTTTTCAAGCTGATTTATTGCTGTCCAGTAAAGTTACCTACTTTTGGTTTCAATGATTCAGCGGTGTGGTGCATTTCAATCTTGTTAAATACAAAGATGAGGCACGGAACTGCCACTCAGAAATGAAGTGAAACAAGCAAACGTTCTGCCGATGTTATAAAATTAGAGAAGTGTTTTCAGCCAGTCAGAAAGTTGACAAATCCTTGGTGAGCTTATACCTGTAAATTTGATTGAGGTGTAAATCAAAGACTTCGAAAACTGTTTTGCAAGTTGATGTGGAAAATAAGGGCCGTGACCGGTTGCAGTCAAGTAAAACCAGTCGCTATGGCAATTTCTAAACAGAACGCCCATTTTCGCTTTACCAAGTACGGGGAATGCTCAATAAGTAAAAGCAGTCACCTCGAAATTAGTACCTCCATTAAAAGAAGATACGAACACAGAGACGATGTCATCTCTAGATGGGCCTAACTTGAAATGAAGATGTTATCGTTCTAGGTTTAATGACACGCTCAGCTGCATACTTATCTTTTCTGATTTTCTGCTAATTAAATAGATGTATGGTTTACACAATTAAATTGGCAATATTCATAATAATTTGCAAAGTTTTAAAAAAGTTACCGTTGGTGCAGACATCACACAAATGTCTACAAGCCTTGCAAACTAATTCGGCAAAGGACAAGTAATGAATTAATAATAAACATTAAAAAATACTATCTCGTGCTATCCACACCAGGAGCCTCCGTACTGAACCTATCTGCATTAATGTTCTCACAATGTCCGTGAAAATATATTCGCATACATGACGCGCAGTCGACTCGCCAGTCGAGGAAAAAATTACGTACTCAGCTCGTAATGGATAGAGTCCATTGTTAATTAGGAAATTGGACGCGGCCAGTCCTAATGTTTTACCTCAAACCCTAGGGACCCATTGACATAGACAGTCTGTTAAAAGTAACGAAGCATTATATGGTGTTTTTTGGCAAATCATGTTGGGTGCAATGTCCTCCTTCGTGTCCAAACTCTGATTGATGAATTTCGAGATCCTACCCGAATTAAATTTGTCTCCATTAGACTCCATCTTAATCAAAATTGAAGAGACTTTTTATTGCCAACAGCTTTTAATTATTTTGGATAATATAGGTGTAGTATAATTCGCTTGTGATTTCAAACAACAGAGACATTCGCCGGAAGAGTTCTCCTAATGTTACATCAACAAGAATGTAGTCACAGTGTGGCTAAAATTAGGTAAACCAGAGAACTATTACTTCAATTTTAAATTATATGTGACATCGAGAAATGTGAATATAATGCTAACATCATGAATTATTTTTGCGCCTTTGTATTGTCATATAAAATTACATTTAAAACTGCTTTAAAAAAGGCAAAATAGGATGGGAAGAAAACAATACTGTCCCAAGCTGTATTTTACCTGCTATTTTCTTGGCCGGTAGGCAAAAGATTGAAATAATAATCAGTCAAAATTGCTAGAAAGAAGTAAGTGATATTTATCATGCCATTGAATCAGGCATGTTTTTCTGGAAAACGATCCTATTAAAACAGTGAATTTAGATTTCATGCTATTAATGCCAACACAATTTTAGTCCTAGTTAACCTACGTGGGGCTCCAGTAATATGAAAAGATTGAGTTACAATAACTGGTGATCAGTGTTTATCCAATGCAACGTGTTCAATGCATGACACCACATTCTCCGAAAAAATTTCAATATTTAAGAAGAGCTAATTTAGCCGATCGTCCCACACCTAGAATTCAGCATAAATGCATTTGCAATTGTTTAGCACCCGAACCAAATTACATAATTAAGCGTTTAAGATTTTGTCCAATTAAAATGGTGGATTTTTGCGACGTGCGAGTTACTACTGCCAGAGCTTCTTTAGTTTGTGACTCATTTAATCTCTTTGGACGGACAAATTTTAGCGAAATCGTGTTATATGAGAAAATACCTAGTTTTGCAATTTTAGCAGCTGCAATACCAAAACTACCCACCTGGCCCATCATGTGAAAAGGCCTGTGTGCTTTTGAGTTAAAAGTAGGTCGGCGCGGTTTCCTCCCCCTTCCTCTGTAATTATTCATAGTGAAATTAAAGAGACCATACCATGACGTCGACTTTTCTGATACAAACTTGGTGTATTTATTTGAAGTTATTGCTGAAATTGGAGCCGCTTCGAAAAAAGTTAAACCAGAGATTAAAATGCAAAAAATGAAAATGACTTCCACATATCTTTCGAATTAAAATAATAGAGGTACGGCAATGCTATGTTATGAGTGTGTACACATTATAGAGGTTGGTTTCTTACTAAAAGAAAAGAAGCTCTGGTTAATTTAATTTAGGGTCGAGTTGTTATTAATGGAAATAGACAGCATGAGCTGCATTTGCCATCGAAAAGCCTGTCTTGTAAGGATGTGAACCAGTGGCCAGTCAGTCATAGACTTAACGTCACACACGATCCCAGCTTTAAAAGTGAACATTTAGTGACGGATTCAGGTTTCACTCACTTATAATTTACACAAAAACGTTATTCGGAGTGTGCTGGAGGGGGCTACGACCAAATAGTTGTCACGTCAGCATCACCAAAGGTGCCTTTAGATGATACTTCTTTAACATTTTGGTACTCTTCTTTGTCGAAAATTGCCTTTCTTCATTCTCAGTACTTAGGAAGCGAGTCACTTTATTGTGTGATCCGGTTTTAACCGTTTCCATACGGGTTTACTCGCTAGTGAAAAAGTCCTGGTGTCGTGTGAGATATTTCGTTATAAAATCATGCATAAATGCAGTTGCCTAAACAAACAAAATAATTACAGCTATTCGGTACCCATAATTGCAAGGCAGTTCATCTTTCATATACAAAATCAAACAGGCTAGATAAAGTGAATTTAAATTATCTTCTGGTCACAAGTACAAATGTTAAAATTAAACTCTGGTATTTGTGATTTCATTGACAATTCAACGTTCCGTAGCGATTATCCATTAAAGCTGTGTAACCACCAAAAATCACCAATTGTATGCATGTCAACATTCTCCTGCCGTTTTATTGCTAGCGTAACTCTGCATAGGATCATAAAAGCGAGTTTAAAGCATAGGTTTCTACCATTTAGATTGCGGATATGTGCGATCCGGTATATGAGTGTAGTTTGGGAAAAGCGCTTGCTCTATTTATTCAAGTAAAATTAAAAACACATTAAACAAATAATTCAATTACTTTACTAAGATCTACATAAGTTGACGGGGCAAGCATTATGCTCTTGTCTTCGAAATCATTCAGTAAAGTCGTACTTATAAATTACATGGTAAAAGTAATTATTTTCGCTACAAAATGAGTTTAAAATCCCTTTGTTGATATTTCTGTCTCACCTATTTGCTAATTTTGGATGCATAAATTGCTGTCAGTCTCGCTTTAATTTAGGGTAGCTTTTTATTTTACTGAACAGTAGAAAAGGACTTAGTAAATATATCATGATTATCTTGGTGATGGATTTGCACTTACAGCCAAACAAAAGGACGTTAATTAACTGGATGAAAAATAATAATCAAAAATGGAGATTATTTTTTAAATATTTTGCTTAAGCTACTTGCTCACTGATGCTCGATTGGCACAGACAGCCTATTGGCAAAGACGGCTGTTTAGGTAAGGAAGGACGGACATTGGGGATTCGTTCATCTGGAAAGTTTTTTTCAAGTCAAAAAGCGAATTCACACAGCAGCTAAGAAGCTGCAAGTGTTTCTAGTGTCAAAAAGTAGCCGCCGTATGTATTTCGTGTTTACTAAGAGGCCTAATTATGTAATGCTGCCTCTGAGCACAAAGGAAGCCAAGTGATTATTCCTAGATGTTCTGTTTGCAAGTGTTCAATTGATAACTGGACACTTGGTGTTATTTACAATATTCGAGGGAAGATCGCAACATGACGATGCTTAATTTTATCGTTTATAAATTATTGATGCACCGCTGAAAGAGCAGTTATTGTAGAAAATCTAATACTTGATAATTTAATTTTGAAACTGATCAACCCTATAGAATCACTGTACACCTTTTATTATCAATTGCAGTTTTTGCTTTAGAGAAAGGATGTCCAACTGCAATTAAAGCAGTTTTGTCTTTACAAATTTGGACCTCATTAACAATGTGCAAGTAAATTACAATACACACATTTCATCACTGCCGCAGAACTGCGATTCCCAGAAAATTGTGACTAAATAAAAATTGTTTTAGAGGTACTTATTATTAATTGGACCTTACCACTACCTGACATCAATACCATGTAATTAGTATTAATTGGATATGTAGATGATAGCTGCAACGAAAAAAACTACCTATGAAGGTTACTTTAAATGAATTACATTAGAAAGCCGGTGTTCAACACTGACAAAAATGTTCAAAATGTCTCAAAACGATGGTATAGGGGGTTCGGAAGAGGTGTTTTGCAGATGTGTTATTTACTGCCACAATCCGGAGATCATATCTACCTAAACACCGACTTGTGCCCTCCTTCTTAAGCCATAGATGCTTTCACCGTTTCAGACAACTACAACAACCTGGTTGCATTTGACGAAAATGGCGATGGCGTTGGTCAATACCTAATTTACAACTACGCACGGGATCTTTATTCGGGCGAGTACCAGTATCGTTTGGTAGGGGACTACAAAAACTCCAAACTCTCTATGCGCTACCGCCCGATTTGGCCAGGCGGACAATCCAAGCATGTGCCTTCAAGTCAATGCTCCGAAGACTGCCCGTGAGTTCTTTGAGTGATGTTCTTACATACTGAGCCTAAGATCACGGTAATGCCAAATGACTTAGAGATGTATGTACCCTCAGTATTTATGTACTCTAAACAACACAGAGACCAATATCTTGCAACATTGCCTGAATTGACATAATGTTGAAGCTCATAAGAGGCCCAGTGTTACTAAAAGTTGTTCAAGTAATCAAGTTAATCAGTTAGCTGTATCAACTGAATACAGTTAATATATCTTAAAAGACTGAGTTATGCCAGACACTCATGTTACACTAGAGTGCATCATCAAGATTAAATTTTTACACAGTGCTGATCGTAACATAAAATCTCGAGCAGTCAGGCGCATCAGAGTAGTTTTTTAGATAAAAATGTCTTTATTAGATGAAAACATGATTCGTTATAAGCTGACGAGTTAACTGAGGCTCTGGCCAATATTAGCAAAACAGGATTTTTTTATTTGAGTAAATTACAACTCAACGACAAGATATCGTGACATCGGGGATCGCAAGAGTCTAAAAAATGAGGCTTCTCATAACTAATATTTAGATATTGATGTTCGTAAAATTGAAAAAAAATGGTTGTGGACAAATTATGCAAACGAGCAACTGTGCTAAGTACTTCCTCAAATATGTTGAGAAGTACTTTCTGCTCTTGCTTCCAAGACTGGATTAAACTAGGAGGGTTCTGGGTCTTGACGGAGACTAGGGATTAATCGTACCTCCTGTGATGAACTGAATATGCTTTCTACCTACCTTTGGTCACTCTTGCTCATTTACTTAGCAACATAAAAGGTCGCATTAAGAACAACGCGATGTGTGCGTATTTGGCATCTGGCTGGGTTAAAATCAATATAACATTTACCGGGAACTGAAAGACTAGCTGTCAGGGGACAAGGTTTGCGATTCCAGATTAGAAATGAAGAAGTCCCATAGACGTCCATACAAAGTAAAACTTTCAGATTTTGGAACAGAATGCTCTACATTATTCGATCACAAACATTAGCACAGGTGATTGTGCATGTTCTCGGAACAGTGTTAAAACGGTGCCCCGAAATTATGCTGACATATGAAAGAGTACAAAATAAATAGAATTTCATGTTTTGGCTTAATTGACCGCAAAATATTAATTGAAATCATTTTGCCAGTGAAAGGGTAGATCATACAACATTTTCTCTACACTTTTAGGAGCGTGTTAATATCGAGAACAAAATATTCGCTAATATTTTTATTATTCTTTTGCCACTTTCATGAAAATTTTAGATAAATTTATTTTTGGCAATTTTTCTTAGGTGAATTGGGATAGAATAATCCCGTGTGGAAAACAAAATCGTGTTAATGTTTATTAGAAGGACCCCTGGGGTGAAGAAAAGCGTCAGGTCTCCAAATGGAACTACTTACCTGAAACATGTCACACCGTTTCCATAATTCGAAAACAGTGCTTCTATCGATTTATTCAGATCAGGCAACTTACTCGGTGTTTGTATGACCAGTCCGATTTGACGAACTGTGCGGACAACGCTGTGGAAATCAGACAATGCGATAAGCACATACTCGAGCTTTACGCTAGTTACTGATATTTGATAAGACACTATTGCATCGTACTTAATCAGGCTGTTAACATGTGGCTTAGAAAACAAAAAACTGTTTAGTCTTGATAAGCACTTCCAGAAATCTACTATATTTCATGGTGCAATTTGTTAAGCAGTCGATTCATTCGTTTGCTTAAATTTTCGACGACATGCAACGCATGTTACGAAAATATTCAAACACAATGAGCCGAAATGTGTGAATAAATGAAAAATCATAAGACTTTAATTGCATTCAACTGACTAAAGATTAAATCCAAAAGAAAATAAAACCGATAATTGTAGATAGTAAGAAAGTGAATCATTGCACGAACAGACTTTGAAAAAACCGCATAGCAACTTTTTGATTGTCAGAAACTGCTGGTCTATGGTTTGAAGACCTATCTTACAAAAATTGAATTAATCATGATAGATGTACACATAAATCCTCAATTCAAATCACGTGGTCTTTCAACAACGCTCAACAATCTTTTTGAAGGAAATGATTTTAAAATTTTAAACACTTAATTAGCAATTAGACCTTACAGGAGAGTTTCCTTTTGCATGGGCTTTGAACTACTCCAGATATATTTACACAACAACGTATTTGGTGCTGACTTGTAGATTTCCAACCATGATCTGATAATCTTTATTAATGCTTCCTTAAAATTAAATGGGACCGTTTGAAAATTGTTCAACGACTTCTAACCTCCCTAATTTTTGCTCCATAAATAAAGCCTAGGGAAATATGTTTCCTGGTTGAATCCAATCACTTTCTTGTGTCTTTTGATAAACATCAACGTACTGTGTGGCAGATATTCCCGCTGTATAGTTTTAACGCGTTTGAAATGGGTATTTAGCAAGTTACATGACGTAGCATTATCTTTCTTTGCGGCCTCTCTCTTTTTTTGCTTCTTTCAAATCGTCTCCAAAATAAGGCAAAACCTCAAACAAACCTCGATTGGTGACATAAAGATTTCTTGCGACCATGTTTAGTTAGCACTGTTAATTTTTTTACTGAAATATCACCATGACGCCATTGTATTTGGAGGAAGTGGAATACGGGCGACGCATTTAGCACTACATTTTTACGACATGTTGGTCCTGACGTTAAAGACACTTAATTATTATTAAAGGTACAAGCGCACGGAACACAAATTTTATCACTTAACGCTAATGCATTTTATTACGGGTAATCACTAGAATGTTCAACATATGCGGCAAAATTACGTAATGAAATTTTGTTCTGTTAATTTTTTTACTCTGAACGATAGTTAGGTTTCAAATACATTGGGGCTATTCTGCATCTGTTAAAGAGGTGTCCACATCAGGGGCTACTAATTTGATATTCCAAGATTTATCATAATTTTCTCCATTTTTAAGTAAACTCTTCGCTAGTTTAAGCAATTATGATGTTACCTTTCTTATTGGGTTGAATTCAGTGTCTTTTTGACCGTATATTATTTAGACAACCTTTACTGTGCATTCGCCTATGGAATTTATTTTATAAAACCAGGATACCACCGTGGTTATTTGATATGTTGCAGCGCCATGCACCACTAAATACCCAACAAGGATGAAGTCAGCGGAGAGACAGAGAGTCAACAGTTTATTCAAGAACTTAACTCAGTCATAGTCGTGTGCATGACATTTGCGCAAATGCATTAATGGCTCAGATGTGTGAAAATGAGTGCCATAAATGTGCTAAAATCGAAACCTAGGTGTTGTGACAATCCAGGATAATTGTTTGCACTATTGGAGAGGAAGTTGAGGTTCCGGGCAGCGGGGGACATACTGTGAAGAGGGACACTGTATCGGGGGCTGGAGGGATCGGATTAACTTGTGTGAATTAACGCGATTCACAATAGCTCTCTCTTTCTCTCTGTGAGAGGATTTAGTGCACATTCTCCTCCCATGGGGTGTCTAAAAGGCATGTCATAGGTTTCGTGCGGTTGTGATGTGGCTGCCGTAGATGATTGTACTGCATATCTGTGGAACCTGAAAGGGAGCTATAAAAATTGGTGATATTCAAGAACTGCTGTTCGCCACGCGTCGCTCACGGTATTCTATCTGTCCTGTGGTTTTTCCCCTCAAGCGGTGTATCGATCGGGCCAATGAACGCGTCTGCCGAAGCGTGTAGTGGTAATCGTCTTCTTACTGTTGTTGAGTGCACCTGGGGCTGGTTGTTTGGCGGCGTCTCCATGTCAGGGAAGGATGGCTTGTGACAGTTGACAGATTTGACGTCCTCTTACCCATTGTGGTCGACGTTGATAATTTTTTCCTTTCGTCTGTGCACTCTGAAAGTTCCACCGTAGTTGGGTTGGAGCGGTTGACAAATGGCATTGTGCTTGATGAAAACCTGAGTGCATGTGGACAAATCTTTTGGGGTGAGTGAAATAGGGAAATGTAAGCGCGGCTGAGCAGTTTTAGTTTGCTTATTGTCTCCCGTAATCGGCAAACGTAGCTGCTGGAATCTGGCCATGCTACTTGGGAAATATTGCCCAGGTAGTCTCAATGTTGTTCTGAAAACCATTTCTGCAGGGTAACACTTCAAATCTTCCTTTACAACTGGTCAAATATCGAGTACTACGAGGGGTAACGTGTCCGCCCAATGAGATGGGTCACCGTGTGCTGTTAAAATGGATGAAAACTTTTTACCATACCATTTGATTGTGAGTGGTAGGCGGTCGTACGAATGCGGTTTGTCCTCAAGAGTCGTGTAAGATTTTGGAATAGGCTTGATTCAAATTGTGTTCCTTGATTTGTGATGATGGTGTGAGGGACTCCAAATAAGGCGATCCATCTATCCACGAACGTTTTAGCTACGGTTCCAGCAGAGGTCTCTTGACTTGGAAATGCATCTTGCCATCTGATGAAACGGTCGACGCAAGTCAGAAGGTAACGGAAACCTTTCGAGTGCGCTAATAATCCATCAATGTCAACGCATACGTAATCAAAAATAGTGTTAGGAACGTTAAACTGTCCAAGTGGAGTCTTGCTGTGCTTGTCTACCATAGATATCTGACGGCGTACGCAATTTCCACCCCACTATGTAATATCTCGATTCATGGCAGGCCAAACACAACAACTTGAGGTCAACTTCCTTGTTACCAGATGACCAGGATAAAGAGACTGTTAATGACTTGGAACTGTTGGGGGCACATCGGCCTAGAAAAGAAGGAACGTTGCACAAAATTTTAAATGTCGCAGATGATTGTACATGTAGATGAAAGTAGATGGGATTCTATCAGCTTTAAGGCTGCGTTGTGTCGTCGGAACTCCTGCAATTCGTCATCAGATTGTTGAGTGATTGCTCTATCCTCGAAATCCACATATTTACTTGTGTTTAGGCGTCAATGTGCAAAAGAGAATGATTCAACTACTTTATGAATGTCGATTGAAAATGGGAAATGTAATCCAAGTATCTTAATTCTCTG